CAACAAGAAATGAGAAAATAAGATTTTGAGTAAAAGTGAAGAATTTAAATCATTTCTTCCAGATATTCAAAGAATGAGCAAGGTATTCAAAATGTGAGCTAATAAAAATGAGAAAAATTTATGCTTTCAAATAGTAATGAAAAACAAAATAAAAATGACATGTTTATTTTCACATCTCATACTCTACAGGGACATGAATGTAGTATGGAGGAATACTCCTGTTTGTTGTTGAGTGACAGGGAGAAGACAAAAAGCATCAATGGACTAAAAATTGTAAGAAGACAAAAGTATAATGACTTATAGCCAAACCCTATGTGTATCTTCTATTAAAATATGAGCTCCTTAAGAGCAGGAGTGATTTGCACAGAATAATTGCTTAGTCAGTGCACTTTTATTCATTCATTAAAAAAAAATAGGTGAGAGAAGTGAACTAATATTTAAAGGCAAAAATCCTATGTCATGATTAATATATTAACATTATAGGTAGTAGGGTCATACAAAGGATTTTATTTCAGATATGGAAAGAAGAGGGTAGAAGAGGCCAAGAGATGATTGATCAAGATTCAGATGGAAAGCTATAGAGGAGGATTTCAGTTTCTACCCTTCCTCTTGGGATTGTGGGAGAATAAGGAAAACAGAATAGACTATATGAACAGTGTGGGTTTGGTATAGCCCCAGAAAGTGATTGATATGTTAACATTCTGTAGTAACCCTAAAGGCAGAAGAGGGTGTGAAGAGGGTCTTACTATGAATATTGCTCTTTAGTGTAGGGAGAGGGTACATTATACATTTCTTGGGAGCAGCTTCTACAAGAAAGGATCATTAATCTCAGTAGTAATTAATTCATTCCAATATTTTGCTTAACTATGCATTAAAGAAATTTGGGGTTTTTTTCCCTTTTCCTTTTTCTTTCCAATGAGGTGAGGAGGATAGGAAATAGGTTTCTGTTATTTTATTTTTTTAATAGGGAGGTGGGGTTAATAGAGATGTGAAACATTGCATACATTTTCACATGAGGTCACTATATTTACTTAACAGTTTTACTTTGTTACAAGAGACCTCTCACAAAGTGGGGGCAATCGTTAAGCATATGTAATATAAAAATAAAACACATCAATAAAACTTAAAGTGATCCCCCAAAAAACAGAATAAGTTAATAAATGAAAACAAAAAAAATGAGACTTCCTACCCCAGCTAGGGTCATATAGCTCTTCTCTGTTGCCTCCATTGATAATCGGAATTCCTGGGAACTGATTTTAGAGATTCCTAGAAGGGGTAAGGAACTGGGGAAGGGAGGTATAATGGTACTTCTGGCAAAAGGGTATTTTAAATTATATCACTAGAATGGAAGAAAAGATGAGGTTGGTGGGAAAGGGGCATGGAAAATTTAGCATAATACTTGTATCTGAACTGTAAAAAAGAAAGAATGAATGAATTAGAGGTAGTAAACAGTCTGATATCAGGAAAATAAATCAAGCTAGGCATAAATGAATTGCTATTCTGCAAAACACATAAAACATCTAGCATCCTACTAAGACACACCTACGATTTATATAAATAGCATGACTAGTCTTTACAGAAATTGAGATTTAAATAAATGAAAAAATATTCAGAGATCATAGTTGGAACATCTCAATATGATGAAAGTGACATTATCCAAATTAATTTACGTAAGTAGTACCATACCAAAAAATTACCAAGGAGACACTTTTTAGAACTAGACAAAATAGTAGCAGAATTCATTTGGAAAAATGAAAGGTCCAGAATTTCAAGGTAAAAAGGAGAAAAAGTACAACTAAAGGAAGCATAAAGGAAGACCTAAAAAACATAAGTAAATCATTGAAGTGGATAAGCAAGAAACACATAATCTACAAGGTTTGATAAACACAAGAACATAAATTACTAGAGAAATCTTTCCCTTTTTACAAGGACTGCTGAAACTAGAAAGCAGTTCAGCAGAAATTACATTGTCTGAAAACTTATACAATATTCTGCAATAAGCTTAAATGGGATATGTGACCTGAATATAAAAGTTCACACCATTAAAAAAAAGTTAGAAGGCAAGAGATTATATACTTTTCACACATATAGCTATGGGAAATTCCTTTCTGTAAGAAAGGTTTGTATTGATATGTTTTGTTTTTAGTGTCACTGGCATCTCTCAATATGTCCTTCCCCTACTCCCCTGAGAGTAATTCCTTGTTAACAAAGACCATCAAAGAAGCAAACTAACCAACACATCAGACAAGTCCAGCATTATATATCGTGACCTGCATTCATACAGGCCACCACTTCTGCAAAGGAAAGGAAGGCATCTTCTCATATTACCTCTTAGGGCCAGACTTAAGTCGTTAAAGTTCCACAACATTCCATTTTAGTTACTGTATGGTTCTTTACTTTTGTGTTGGTGCTATTGTGTGTGTGTGTGTGTGTGTGTGTGTGTGTGTTTTCTGGTTCTGCCTCTTCCACTTTGTATCAGTGTATATGTCTTCCCATACATCCCTATAGTCTTCATAGGAAATCATTCTTCCCTTTCCCCTTTTTCTCCACTTTCTCCTCCCCCATTTCCTACTCCTTTCCCTCCTCCTCCCCTCTTCTTCCTCCTCTTTTTTCTCCTCCTCCTATAGAATATTGGGCCTGGAGTCAAGAACATTGAATACAAATCCAGCCTCTTGACACTTACTAATTGTATGATCCTTGGCAAGTCACTTAGCCTCTATTTGCCTCAGTTTCCTCACTGTAAAACGGGGGCAATAATAGCAGTACCTACCTTGCAAGGTTGTCCTGAGTATTAAATGAGATAATATTTGTAAAAAGTGCTTTGCACAGTGCCTGGCATTTTGTCGGCACTATATAAATGCTTATCCCCTTCTTCTTCTTCTCCTTTTTCTCTTCTTCCTTTTCCTTCTCTTCCTCCTACTGCTCCCTTTTTCTTCTTTCTTTTCCTCCTCTGGGATTTTTACAGTATGGTAAAAAAAAAAAGTGATAACTAGTCAAGTGGCCATCTTAATGAAGTAGTACTTGGCTACGAAAACCAGATCAAATTACTTTTTTTTTTAAATGCTTGCAGTCTATACTCACTGGGGGACACTAATCTTTTGTACTTGACAGAAAATGAAAAATTATTTTAATTTGTAAATGGAAACCTCTTTGGCTTAATTGCTTTCTAGATGTTTACTATTAAGGCATTCGAGAGTAAGTATTTTTTGTTTGTTTTTTTAACTTATTTTAAAATTTATAAAAACCTTTAGGCATTACATGGAGCTTTCTTCTTTGTAGGTTTTGCTGGAGGGTGCCTTTCTTTCTGAAAGCTGTTGGTAAGAAGTGTGGGTCCAGAGTAGATCATTCCATGTGAAGTCTTCTTCCTGTATTTGTATCTTTCATGCAGAAGAAATCTGCATCTTGTTAAAATGAAGTCAAAAGCATCCTCAAATGGGAAGATAGATTACAAGAAAGTAGCTTGAAACCAGAAGATTTCATATTAAAAAAACAGAGTGGGGGTAACTCACAATTTTGCTTTAATAATCTTCATCTGCAAAATAAAGATAGATTAGGTGATTGCTAAACCAGGGAATCTGTAAATTCTCTTCCAGCTCTAAATCCTAGGAGATTCACTTTATTTGGAAGGGAGGGAATAGTAGAGTAATTTATCTGCATGCAGAGCCACCTCCATATTCCAGTTATTGTCCATCTTGCCATATACCTCAAGGATGACTCTAGTTATAGTGACATAATTGAAAAATACATCTTACTCTTCTGCTGAACAATCTTAATTACTGCTTATCATCTAATAGATGTGCCAAGCAGGCTCTTCTTTAACTAGTGAGCTGTGCGGTACCAATGGTAAATTCTTGCCACTTGCCTTTTATTGATGCAACAGATGTCATACTTCAAGGACTTTGTTTACAAGGGTCCTGAAATGCTGGAATGTGAGTGAAAATATTAAGTAGATAATTTTAATTCTTACTTATGCAAAGCATTGTTTCTTTTAGCTAAACCATTGGCTTGACTGACCATGTTGCTAGCTCATTCGATATTTTTCAGAACGTTTTGCAAATGTACAGAAAAATGGAATTTGAAGTCTGTGGTCTATTTTCATGGAGAATACATTTTAAATATTAAGGTTTATTTGACATAAATGCTTTCTTTCATTAATGGTCCAATGATTAACTGTGATTGTAATTCATTATGCAGAATGACAGCATCCTAACTGAAATTATTTTGTATGCTCAGGTTAATATCTTTCATTACTGAAAATTTAATTCAGTACGTTTAATACTCTAAATCTTTCTATTGGTATCTCTGTGTCTTCTGGTTATTATTGTTACAGTTTTAATATGTAATATCAACTCTGGGGACCCTGGCTGCTCATTTTGGCTTGTATTTACTTAACGTTATGTTATAAAAGTTCATTGTGTGGCAGTACCTTTAATAGCATATGGGGGCTAGAAGCTGAAAGAAGGAACCTACTACAAAAGGAATATCTCATTTCTATCCTAACTTTCAAATGTCAGGGAGATCAATACACAATCAACACTGATTTTATTGTTTTCATTAAGAAATAAGCCCTAAAGACTGGTTTGTGCAAAAATGAGTCTCTTTGGGTACTGAGTTGCTTCAGGATTATCCAGTTATTTTTTAGGAAAATAATTTTTCCATTAAATAGAGACAGATGCTTGGCTTACAATTGGAACCATTAGACAGCCCCAGACAGTAATGATTTGCAAGAATCACTGCTCTCTTTGCTTCCCATTTTCTAGTTTTAAAGCTCCTTACTCTGATAAATTGCAAGCTAGTGAGAGTGCTCATATTCATGTTTCAAAAACAGCAACAACAAAAAACAGAACCTTGCCAAGTCCTCTGTCCCCACTGGCAACACGTGAATACCCTATGTTGACCATTCTGAATGCTCAGTACAAGCTTTGGATTATGTCTTTGAGTAAGTCACTAAGATGGCATGCCCATTAAGGTTCATTGTACATTGTGGTCCTCTCTTGTAGGTGAGATAAATGACCAAAACATTCAGGTGGTAGAGCTTCCCATTGTTGACAGCCTTCATCCACGGCCGCCTTATTTACCATTGGCTGTTCCAGAAGACCTTGCAGATCGGCTTGTGCGGGTCCATGGAGATCCTGCTGTGTGGTGGGTTTCCCAGTTTGTCAAATACTTAATCCGTCCACAGCCTTGGTTAGAAAAGGAAATTGAAGAGGCCACCAAAAAGCTTGGTTTCAAGCATCCAGTTATCGGGTAAGAATGTGATTTGCTGTTTTCATATCTTAAAATGTATCAGAATTTACAATGATTTGGAGGATGTCTAGTGCCCTTTGATAGCTCTACCAAGAAACTAAGAAATATGTGTCATGCATCTGATCACTACTGAAATAATCATCCACCCCCTGCATGTTCCTAGAACAGCTGAGATGCTAATTATTATCCCTGGCCTGGCACTAGAACTAGGAGTGGCCACAACATTAGAATGCTTTTCCTTTCCTAGAGAAGTTAATTAGAGGAATATTTTGTTTTGTGGAATAAAAATGAAATCAGTCTTAACCTAATGGGACTATGAAGTAAGGCTGTCATCTTTATAACATTTGTTTGACTTGTTTTAAGAGCCAGAAGATCAGAATTCAAATCCTGATTCTGCCACTTAATACCTATGTGACTTTGGGCAAATCATTCAGCCAAGGGCTTTGGTTTCTTCATCTGTAGAAGGGGGTATGAGATGGTCTTTGAGGTTCCTTCTAGCCCTAGATCTGTGATCTTCTAAAAATAAGCTAGTATTCCCCTGCACCCACTCTATGACCCAGATGCACAGGCCTGCTTGCCCTTGCCCTCAGCATTCCATCTCCTATCTGTGCCTGTGTGCTGCCTAGCTCCCATACCTCTGGCTCTTAATTTCCCAGGCTTCCTGAAAGTCTCAGCTCAAGTCTTAACTTCTGTAAGAAGTTGTTCTTGATCCTTCCCAGCTGCTAGTGACTACTCTCCTTTGAGATTACCTCCAATCTACTCAGTTTTTATCTTGTATATACCTAGTTATTTACATGTCTCTACCAGTAGACTGTGGTCTTGAGTACAGAAACTGTTTTTGCCTTTCTTTATATCCCCAGTACTTAACACAATGTCTAGCACACAGTGAGCAATTAATAAGTGGGTTTTTTTTAATTTATAGTGGTTTAATATTGTTAACATTCTGTTTTGTGGTCCTCATAAGTAGAGACTGCTTTAAGGAAAAGGCATGTTTTTAGTAATGTAAAAAATAAGTTATTCAAGTTATGTTTAAAAAAAATCCCTAGGGTCCTCCAGATTCACTACATATACCTTTACTTAATACTATGCTTATGTTAAGGTAGAGGTGTCAGGAAATGTTGAAAGCAAGAAGGAATCCTAATGAAGATCTTAGAGTTGGATGTCAAAGGTATGGCCTACAGGCAAGATCTGACCTATATAAGATTACTCTTTGTTCAGTGGCACATTTCCTTAATAAAAACCACTTAAATTCAATTCATAGACCCATAGATTTAGAACTAGAAGGGACTTTAAAGATCATTTAGTCCAACCCTCTTTTTTTTATAGGTAATGATTCTTGTATTTTCTAAAAGATAAATTTTTCCAGTATTTGTATTAAAATATAAATTCATTTGAGCTATTCCCTGCCCTAGAGCTATGTGTTGACACCCTTAGCCAACATGTTTGGTTATTTCACAAGGGCAAATGGAAAGCATCAATATCATATCACCAACTTAGGATGCTTTCCTCTTTTCTTGATATCATTCACCTCATAGTGCCATACCATCATCATCTCTCAATTGTTTTTTCCTCTGCCTCTTGCACATTATAAAGAAACGCTACAAAAGAATAGTAAAAAAGTAGAATTATTAAGTGTTGAGAATTACCCATTCTCTAAGTTGTTTTCTTTAGTTTCTGAGAACCAGGAAGAAGGAACTTTATTTCTTACAGGCCAGAATTCAGAGAAGATTAGCTTATAAAGCAGCACTCCCCAGTGCAAAGCACTGTGAGCCACCTATTCCATCTGTAAATGAGGAGAATGACCTTACAGTGATAAAAGGCTAAAAAACAAGTATAATTGAAAAGTTATAGCATTTTAGAAATTGAAGTTACTTATTTAAATGTAAATAGTTACAAAGCAAGTTGTACTGATGTTTAATATGTAAAGTTTAATATATAAAGTTAATCTAAAAAGCTAAAAGTTGGCTTATATGCAGTAGAAACAGTAGAAAATTTCCCAGTAAGTACAGGAATAAAGCAAAGATACATCCTTCTTCTGCTCTTTTGGACTTGGTTCTAGTGATAGCAGTAAGACAAGTGGAAGACATTAAAGGCCTAAAAATGGACAAAGAGAAGATAAAAACCACCTTTATTTGCTGATGATATGTAGTTCACACAGAAAACCTCAAAAAAAAATTCGATAAAGCAAAGAATTGAGACAGTTTTGCTAAGCTAAATTAAAAAAAAATAAGCTAAAGAAAAATAAGCTAGATGGAACTTCAGAGACTGTTTCATTCCCCCTTCTACAGATGAAGAAACCGAAGCCCTTAGCTGAATGGTTTGCCCAAAGTCACATAGGTATTAAGTGGCAGAATGAGGATTTGAATTCTCATCTTCTGGCTCTAAAAACAGGTCAAAAAAACTCAGCATTCAGTTAATCTGAGAAAATAAATTATTTGAGAAAGACCTCCTTTAAGCAGTTTGGCCAGAATTAGATTTAGCTCAGTATCTTACACCTTTGCCACAATTAAGCTCTAAATAAATATGGGACCTGAATATTAAAGATCACATCATAAAATGTTTAGAAGAGAAACTGTACCTTTCACAGCTATGGCTAGAGGGAGTTCTTAACCAAATGAAAGATATAGATGATTACAAAAGATAAAATGAATAGTTTTGATTTCATGAGATTGAACAAGCTTTCGCACAAATGCAATCAACACAACTAGGATTAGAAGGGAAGTTGCTGACTTGGAAAAAAAAAATCTTTGTGGCAAATATCTCTGAAAAAAGTTGGCTATCCAAGATATATAGGTAATTAACACAAATATATAAGATAAAAAGCTCTTTTCCCAGTAGATACATAGTCAAATAATTCTTTTTAAAAAGTTTGTAATACAGTGATCCGAGACAAAAATAATAATAACAAAGGTTGTAAGAGAATAGCAAACTATTAATTATATGAAAGATTGCTCCAAATCACTGTTAACAGAACTATAAATCAGAGACTTCCAACTGTTAGGTTTCTTATTCATTAATTAATTTTTCTGCCAGAAAGTGTTTTATGGAACTGATTTTTTTCCTGTAGTTCCTCTTTCATTTCATATAGCCATTGTTCAGTGTTCTTTGCAGCTATGTTGAGAAATCAGCATGTTAGGGCTCTGATGCTTCAGAGCTCTTGAGTAGCAAGAGTTCTTGTTTTGTCTCCCTAGAGTTCATGTCCGACGTACAGACAAAGTGGGGACAGAAGCCGCATTCCATCCTATTGAGGAATACATGGTTCATGTAGAAGAGCATTTCCAGCTTCTTGAACGCAGAATGCATGTGGACAAAAAAAGAGTTTATTTGGCTACAGATGATCCTTCCTTATTGAAGGAGGCAAAATCCAAGTAAGTTAAACAAGCTGAATTTTCAAATGGTGGTGTTTTTGTGCAAATGGTTCTTCCAGTTGAAAAGAAACTCTATTCTTGAATGTTATCAGTAACGTATGATACTTTCTTGCAATTATGAATCTGAAGTATATTAGGCTGTATTATTGTGTCATAATTATCATCAAAAACATTTAAATATCCATTCTCTGCTTTAGGAACTTCCTTTCTTAGAAACTTAACGTGGACAGTCAGATATTCAAACATTTAGCCAAACAGATGCAAAAAGAAAATGTTCACCTTACATGCAAACCTTTCGTGTCTGTTAACAGTAAAGGGAAGAAAAGATTTGTCTATTTTATGGTTTGGTGGAGAATACAATCAATCATATACCCTACAAAAAAGTACTAATTATTTAAGAGACTACTAAAATATAATTTGTGATGACTAGTTTTGAGGAAGACCGAAGCTTACTTTTGCACTGTGTATGAGTTACAAAGTTGGATGACTTCGAGAACTTCTAGTGTAACCCATACCTGACCCATAATCCCTTCTACATTATACCTGAAAGGTGGCTTTCTAGATTTTGCTCGAAGACCCGCATTGAGGTAGAAACCATTACCTCTTGAGATATGCAGGCTTTTCTTGTATCAAACTTAACATTCGCCTTTTTGCAGCTTTGACCCATTGTTCTTTATTCTGCCCTTTTAAGCCAATGCAACACGAATCTAACCCTTCCACACAAAAGGCCTTTAGACTCTTCAAGACAGCTGTTATACCCTCACTGAAGTTTTTTTTTTCCTTCTTTGGGCTCAGCATCCCTTGTTAGTTCACCTGGCCCTCAAATGACATGAGACAGAAGTGCTTCATTAAAGTAAGTTCTGTTGGCAACATATTGTAAGCAGTTCAAGTTGCATCATGTACTTGAGACTAAGAAAACTGAATTTGTAAAGATAACCTATAAATTATCTGACTAATTCAGACCGGCCTTACATCCTTCCCCATATTAGCCCCAAATTAGTGAGTTGTGTTGTTTTTTTTTTTTTACTGTAATTTTTAAAACTATTTTAAGCTATTTAAGCTATCTGGTAGGCGGGAAGAAGGAGGAAGAAAATGGACAAATAGGATGTGATATTATGGATATCATTTTGCTCTTCATTTAATAAACAAAAGATTGTTTATTTTCTGATTTGTGGTACAACCCTTTGATCATTTGAGTTTTCCCCCCAACCATCATAATTAGAGGCAAGTAACAGAGATAATAAGATGAAGTGGCCTATTTGCACGCAGCAAAGGCATCCACACTTCAGATTGTAGCCAGTTAAGATTGGTGCTCTGACAGTCAGGAAGAGAAATGACTCTGGACAAAGAGCTTGGTGCCTGAATTCACTCTGCTCACTTGTCAGAACTTCCCCCTAGATGGACTCTTGATCTGGGCAGCTTGATTTTGTGGTGGTTGTTGTTGGCCAAAGAAGAATGGCTCGTTTTACAGCCATCCAGAGACTAGCCGTGATACAATTCTGTCAAGTTGACTGAAGAACTTTTTCACACCTCCTAAAGGAAAGCAGAAATGTTATACTTTATTTATTAGGGATATTTATGTATCGGTTTCTTTCTCTGATTCATCTCTCCCCTGGTTTATGGATTAAAACCATATTGATATCATAGAAGGAATTTGGTAGAAGCCTTTTTCCAGTTTTTGGAAAAAACTTATGTACTGTTGGAATTAATTGTTCTTTGAATGATAAAATCCATCTGGTACTAGGTTTTTGTTCTTTAGTAGTTCATTTTTGTGTTCTCAATTTCTTTTTTTAAGATTGAGTTCCTTAAATTCACTGTTTATTTTTCTGTTACTCTGGGTGTTTTATATTTTTCTAGACATGTATCCATTTCATTTAAATTGTCAGAATTGGGCAAATTAGTTTGGGGCAAAATAATTTTTAATAATTTCCCTCCTCAATCTTTTGTTGTAATTTTGCTGTTTTCATTTTTAACATTGACTGTTTTGTTTTCCTTTCTTTTTAAATCAGATTGGCTAATGATTTTATTTATTTGCTTTTTAAAACCAAGCTTTTTTATTTATTCTTATTTTGCTTTCAGTCTTCTTAATTTCAGAATTTATTTTGTACTTAGATGGTTTTTTTTTAAATTATGCTGGTTTTCTAGGTTTTTTTTAAGTTTTCATTCACTAAGTGTTTTCTTCACAACAGCCCTCAAGGTAGGTGGTACAAATATTGTTACCCTCATTTTACAGTTAAGGAAACTGAGGCTCTGAAATGCTAATTACTTGGTCTATGGCTAATAAGCAATAGAACTGGGACTAAAACCCAGGTCTTCTGACTTTGGTTTGTGTGTTTTGCTGCTGTACTAAATTGTTGTATAAATATCACAGGAGCAAACATTTAGGGCTAATGGGACCTTAATGGTCATCAAGTCCAGGCCCCTCATATTATAGGTGAGGGGACTGAGACCTAGAAAGTTTGTAATTTTCCCAACTTAACACAATCAGTGAATATCTGAAGTGGAATTTGAACCCTGGTCTTCCTGACTCCAAGTCTAATGCTTGGTCCATGCATATCTTTTCAAATAAGTGATTACCAGGCCAAGCAATATGTTAGCCTAGTTGTTATAAACCTTGTTATACGGCAAAGTTTTGGCATCAAATACATGTCTTGGACGCAAAATTTTGTAAAAGTTTTTGAATTCATTCAGTTCTGTTACTAGTTAAAGGAAGGGAGAAACAATACTCTATGGCCCTTCATTTTAAGACACAGACTAAATCTAGGTATTGCTTGGATATAAGCAATTAATTTTTGTAGGCTCCATCTAGTGTCCTGTAATTGCAGCACAACATTCTTTTACCAGTAGGCTAACCATTGGAACATAGGTGACAGTGTTTACTTTCGTTGTGAGAATAATAAAGCTAGAATATTCCCTTTTTTCTCTGTAGTATAGGAATCCATGTAGCATTTCTCCATACTTAAAGATGATACAGTGATTTCATGATGCTTCCCTTTCTTCCCTTTTGTGCTTTCCTGAGTGTTAGCCTTGTCAGTCTCCTCCGAGATTTCCATAGTGTTTTAAATTCTGTTTCCTTTATTCCGTATGTTCTAGTTAAATCTTTTGTAGCACTGGTTTAGGTTTCTCAGAGAAATTGATGTAGGCAAGTCTTAAAAGCTTTGCCTTTGTTCCAGGACACCAAATCATGAATTTGACCCTCAGTTCAGCAGCGCTGTCTTTTTTATACGCTATCCAAGGCCAGGGAACCAGAGGAAGAAATCAACATAATGAGTATAATAGCCCCTGAAAATTCAGAAGCAAACATATTATATTCTATTGTTCAAGCTCAGGATGTGACACCTAAAATAGATTTTTGGAAAGAGATAAAGTTTATCATGTAGGGACTTTACATAATTGGTTGCTAAGTGTAGATGAGCACATGATGTTTTATGGATGGGAAGGATTCTCTAGGTTAGAAATGGCTACTGTTAGTGAAGGAAGTTTCAGTTTGGTTGTGTTGATGACTGATGGCTGTACTTAATCTGGATAAGTGGTCCTGATGTGGGACGGTATTAAAGCTGTTTAAAAACCAGAGTCAAAGAAATGAGTCACACCTAATCCTGTTAAGGCTATGCAGGATAATACTGCCTCCCAAAATTGTGTGAGCAATGGAAAAATTATAAACTGCCTTATCTTATATGAATCAGTGTGGTGTAGTGGGAAAAGTACTGGATTTATGTTCAGCTTTTACCTCAGAAGGAAGCAAGCAAGCATTACATAGCGATAAGCATTTATATAGTGCCTACTATGTGTCAGTCACTGTATGAAGCACTTTTTACAAAGAACTCATTTGATCCTCACACCTTTTGAGGTAGGTGCTATTAATATACCTATTTTACAGTTGAGGAAATAGGCAAATAGTAGTTAAGAGTCACACAGCTAGTTGAGTGTCTGAGATCAGATTTGAATGCAGGTCTTCGTGACTCCAGGCCTAGTGTTCTCACTTCTTTGTTGCCAGCTGCCCCAATGTCATTTCATCTCTGAGAGACGTCTACTATACATACCACATAGGGATGTTTTGAGATGAAGTGAGACGTTAAAACAAGTGCTTTTCAAACTTTAAAGAGCAATTATAATGATAATTACATTGACATTAAATAATTATAATAATGATACTAGTAAGTAATCATTGTAATAATCATATTATTAACCACTATTACTGATCTACCCTGAATAGTGATGATGATGGTGCTGAGGGTGATTTTGCTAACCAGTGGACATGAGGTATGAACACACATATGAAAGCAACTTTGTCCAGTTGAGTGGTAAGACAGAAGAAAATAAAAACTTATCTCCTGGGTTCAAGAATCCCTCCTTTGGTGTGCCTAAGCATCTAGATTACATGTTTGGAGTTGAGAATTGTAAAAGGCTATGCCAAAGCGTCTTATAAATAGGGCGTAGGAATGAGCAGAGTCAAAAGGACTATGCTAATTTTAATAGATACTTGGTTTTTCTTTTATCATATGGAATTAGTGAAATAGGACTAGTCAAACTGTTTTCAGTTTACAAGCTTAAGCTAGTTCTTTAGATTGGAGAGGGGGAGAAATTTATTTAAGTTGCAAAAAAAATATGTGGTTTACAATCTTTGTCACTTTGTGTTACCTAAAGTATCCTTAAATTACAGGCTTACCCTACCTAACATCATTTCATTGGTTCTGTGAAAACACATTAGGAGAAACAGCATTATAGGAGACAGTTCCCATAAGAATGATGCTATAAGTAAGTAATTGACCAAATGACATTGCAATGGGCTTAATGGCTTTAGTAAGTTTAATTATAATGTATTAAAAATCTTATCACAAAATGACAAATGTTAGAGCAATTTAGGTAAAGTATACCTACAAAATAATTTCTATGTTGGCATGCATCTTTGCAAAAGAATAAAACACTTCCTATCATTGTCTTGTAACAAAATTCAGATAATTGAATATTGTCACTTGGAGACAAGAAATCCTCCTCTCCCATCATTCCTTTTCTTTGGTTTTTCTCCCTTATCATTTTAAAGAAGTCAGTGTCCCTCATTAAGTCATTTCGTGTATGTGGAAGTCTGATCTTCTAATCATGTAGTTCAATTGATTTGGTTAACAGATCCCTTGTGAGGTTAGTGTCCTCATTTCACTTGATGGTGAGGTTTCATCATACCCTTTTCTTTTTGTCTTCATTCAGCACCCAAGTTCAACTAGCAAGATGGATATTTATTCTAGGAAGGAGATGCTATAACTTCTCTTAGTAACCAATTCCAGTGTGTCTAACAGCCTCCCTTTCATATTTATTTAGAGCTGTTTCTGCCCCATTCCTGAGTATGCAGCTTCACAGGGACCACATTAAAAGCTTTCCTGGCTGTTTTCTTTTCAGAACAAGTGTGACATTTCCTTGATCTCCCAAAATCTGAGCTGTAGTGGGCAAAATGTCAAAAAATAATGAGGCCAAATGGAGCTATACACTGAATGCCAGTCTAAAGCAATGCTCAAAAGCTTTACCTTCACAGCCATTATCACTGAGAGGCAATAGGGAGAAAGCTCATCAGTGGTAGTGAGAATACTCAAGTTGTTGTTAAAGGATGAGGGAAATGGTCTAGGCTCAGGTAGTTAAGCTTTATCCTGGGGGTGAATAAGGTAACAGCCACCTTTCGAACCTGAATTAACTTTCTTAAATCTATAAGGCACCACCCTGTAAATGACTGCTACAGGTTTACTGAGTAGGACCCCATGATAGTTAATACAGCTTCCAAAAATGTCTCATTTACTTCAAGGACCTATTTTATCAGTTTGAGTAGAATAGGGTGAGAGATACTCAGAGCAAAATGGGGAAATTTGGTTCACTGTGTTTCCATTAGCACTGTTATGCTAGCTGTAAAAGTTTAACACCATGACCAGTAGTTGTGATGAACCTGAGTGTAGCTGGATGATTCAGCACTAAAATGGTGGACAGCACTGAGCAGCTCACAGCTGAGTTGCAATGGAAAGGTGTTACCAAGGATATTTAAGGAGTTGGTAGTGGGTGGTATTATCAGGTCCATTCAGTTTAATTAGGTTGACCCACTTCTGTGCCTTTTTGGCAGGCTGGATTGTTCCAGATACAAGAGCAAGACCCAGCTAAGTCTGGGCATGGAAAGGGGTACTGCGTCATTATTGTCATTATCTTGATTTCCCCAGGCACAGTTTCCCTGAATTAGGGGTGTCTTTGTCTTTTTAGCACACTCACCCACAGGGAGGCAGTGGGGAGAAGAGTGTAGGGGTTTCTGTGTGCCTTCCACAAGTGTCTGGGGTCAATTATTAAATACAGTTAAGGGGTCTGTAATGAGAAGTCTTTTCAGAGAACTTCCTACACCTAATTAGTGAATTGCAAAATGTTTTAGAGCTGGAAGGTCATTTAGTCCAACCCCTTCATTTTATAGTTGAGATATCTGAGCCCTGGAGAATTTAAGTGACTTGCTTTATATCGCACAAGTAGTACCTAAGAGATACAGGATTTGAACCCAGGTCCATCGACTCCAGTTCCAGGATTCCTTCCACTGCACTACCTGCATTAAACTTTTCTATCAAAGCATTTAAGTAGTAAAAGAAAAGACCACTTACTCAAGCAAGCTGAAAAGGATAGCTGTTGGAGATTACACCTGGCAAAAAGAATAACATCCCTTTAATTTTTTGGCAAAGAAGACTCCAGTGAGTTATTTATTTGGCATATCATTAATTTTTCTTTAATATTCTAGTTATTCAAGGATAGTTTCTTTCCCAATGATGAATTCAGAGATGGCTCATTGATTACTCTACTGAATGTCAAGAAATTAAATCTTCCTATTTTGGTGGTGAAGATATAAAACCTTGCTAAGGAGAATGCCAAAGACTCCATCCCAAAGTCTTAGGGATCTGCTTCTTAAAAAGGATGTTGTGGGCTTTAAAATAAAATGGAAGTTCCTTGAGGGGCTGTTTAACTTTTTATCCTCTGCTCCCAGCGCAGTTCTTTGCACATAGTAGGTGACTTGTAAAATGTTTGTTGATTACTTGAACTGAATTTTAAAATAACTCATCAGTATGTTTTTTTATTCCTTTTTTTTTTCAGGTACCCAAATTATGAATTTATCAGTGATAACTCCATATCCTGGTCAGCTGGACTACACAATCGATACACAGAAAATTCCCTACGAGGTGTGATCTTGGATATACACTTTCTGTCACAGGCAGATTTCCTAGTCTGTACATTTTCATCCCAGGTAAGTCTAACAAGGAGGCATTTCTAAGTGCCCAATGCATTATGCTCATTTAATCTGAGAGCCAGTGGAATTGGCTTATTTTTGTTTTTATTTTATGCTGGTTATTATGATTCAGGTACAATTTTCTTGATGTTCTGTAATGATCTTTTATGGAAGAATGAAAAGATTCAATAAAATTTGAGAGCATTGACTGTTTTAATCATTTTGCAAATAATAGGTAAATACCTTTCTACCAAAGCTAGTTATTGTATAATGTTTAAAGTGTTCGGTTTGTTTAAAAAATTTAACAAAAGCAGTAAGTAATTAAGTACATTTAATTCTTTTTTCTTTCTTTTTCTGTTTCCTGCTTTCTTTCTTTCTTTTTTTTTTTTTGCATAGAGTCAATATGCAACTATCCCTTTCCACACATCAGTGTGCTGATACTGGGAGGCTTAACTTGAATTTTGCCTCATTTGATTGTTTCTAAGAACTAAGAAAAAAAAGCAAATATAATTCTTCAAGTCAATTACGTTACTATCTGACAAGAAACTGTGTGTTAGATTTAAACAATATCCACAATCATCTATCTAGTTTGGTTATTGCAGATAATCAGGTTTACAAGCTTGGTTTGTTTGTTTTGCTTTGGAGAGATTGGCTCAGGCTTGACTGGCCAGTGACGATTTCAGTTCAGTGGTGGTTATGGTGGACTTTCTTCTGTTCCATCACTGCTTATGTTATATTTGTTTGTTCATGCTTCATCGTTCAGCAGGCAGCTATTTAGGGCCTACTAGATGCCCTAGAGAAGTTCAGACGTAAAACACTTGCCCCTTTCCTCGTGGAGCTTGTGATAAAATCAGTGTGCACATACGAAACAACTGCATAAGAATTATTTAATTTACATATGAACAAATGTGTATATAATGACAACTGTATCTATATCATCTGAACAGAGAAGAGTTCTAGAGTATAGAGGTTGGGTTTCTGACTCTGAAAGAGAAAGAACAAATCTTTTTATGGGAATAAGACTTCCTGTGTTCCAGAAGGTTATATGATAAGAAACTCTAAGGTGAAATTAATGTATCTATCTAAAATCTCACTTAGCTCTGATGTGGTTATGTCTAACTACATATTCTAGGATAGTTTCTGAGGCCACAAAGACAAAGCTATTCATTGTCTTCCTCTTTCCCAGCCCTCCCCCCCCACTTTTTTTCTTTTGAAACATTGTCTTAGGCTTTTCCTAGAAAGACAGATATAAGAAAATTTTTTTCTGTTCCCATAGCTTCACTCAGTCCAGATAGACAGCAGTATATGTAGGAATAGAGGAAATATCTATTAATATATGTTGACTTTTGACATTTTATTCGTATCTAGGACAGAAAAGAATTTTGTTCCTTTTTAATTCTGTTTTATACTAAAATATCCCCTCTTATTGAAGTACCTAGAGCCTGAAGAAGGCAATGTGAGTAGAATGGGGATGGGAGAGTAGGGAGGGTATGCAAAGGTAAAGGTTGTGTCACTGCTGATAGTAGAATCACTTGGGAATTCAAACCAAATTTAACAACAAAAAAGTAAAACTTTATTCAGTCTAATAAAGAATTTAACCAGGGGTGAGGAGTCTGCGGCCTTGAGGTCACACGTGGCCCTCTAGGTCCTAAAGTGCGGCCCTTTGACTGAATGCAAACTTCACAGAACAAATCCTTTCATTATCTGACATGATATGATATGATATTACATTATCTTATACTATATACCATATTACATCATACTATATTATATATAATAATAAAGTAATATGAATTATATTACTTGTTTTATTAAATATTAATATATTATAAGAATCTTTTTCTTAAGGGGATTTGTTCTGTGAACTTTGGATTCAGTCAAAAGGCCGCACTTGAGGACCTAGAGGGCCGCATGTGGCCTTGAGGTGGCAGGTTCCCCACCCGTGACTTAAACCAATGTTTTAAAAATTTTGTAAAGCCAAAAATAAACCCAGAGAATACTTTAAAGTGTTTTAGGTTGACGTTCAGAGCAAAGGCTCAACGTTAAACTACTATAGCACCCAGAGACAGTGGGCTTATACTTGTTACCTTTTGGTTCACATTAAAGGTTTACTTCTATCTTCTCATTACCATTTTTTTTTATACAAGCCTCACTGAAAACACTTAGTACACAATTTAAAATTTTCCCAGTATTCATCAGAGATTCCTGATTAATGTTGATTCAGCCATAGTGTCCTGGAAAGAGTTCTTTATTTGGAGTAAAAGAACCTGGGTTCAGAACCTGGCTCTGCTTTCTTATTACCTTGTGACCCTGAGTAAGTCATTTAATTAAGATTGGAGTGAGGAGAGACTTGAATCAGGGAGACCAAGTAGGAATGATTTACAGTTAGAAACAACAAGATTTGGTAACTCATTGGAAATGTAGAATGAGGGAGAGTGAGGAAGAAAGGATAATGCCAAGATGGCAAACCTGGAAGAAGTATGGTGGTGCTTTTGAAAGAAATAACAAGGTTTGGAGGAGAAAGATAAGTTTTGTTTCGAGATGTCTCTAGGACACTCAGTGTGAAATATCCAATTGGTGATTTGGGATTGAAGCCCAAGGGGAAAACTGAGACTGGGCTTATTATAGATCTTGGAGTCAGTGACATAGAGATGATATCCCATGGGAGCTGAGACACCAAGAGAGTGTGGAGAGAGAAGAATAGGAGACTTGGGCAGCATCCATATTTAGGGGTTGTGATCTGTATGATGAGCCAGCAAAGGAAATGTCAGTTTTGATAAATAAGAAGACCAAGAAATAGTCATATCATTAAAGTCCAGAGAAAAAGGAGTATCCCAGAGGAGAAGGTAGTTAGTAGTGTCAGATGAAGCAGATAGGTCAAGAGGATGAAGAGTCAAAAAAGAATGTTGGATTTGACAGGAGATTATTGATAACTTTGGAAAGTGCAGTCTCAGTCAAATGGTGATTTTGGGAACCAGGTTGTAAAAGTTTGAAGAGTTAGTGAGAAGAGAGGAAGTTGAAGGCAGCAAGCACAGATAGCTTTTTTCAGGTGTTTGGCTGAGAAAGAGATGAGTAATGTGTGATAGAAGCTTGAAGAGATAGTAGAACCTACTGAGCATTTCTAAGGATGTATGGGGGTGTCTTGGGAGTCGTTGGAGGCACTAGGGGAAGAAACAGTGGATAGGGAAGGATTGAATGTTAGAGAAAGGTGATCATAGAAGTTGTCATCATCTGGGATCAACAGAAGGGGGTTGAGGCTCAAGGGCCATTGTCAGAGGTTAGGTGAAAGAGCAAAAGAGCGGTGGGAAGATGCCAGAGGGTTTAGGCATTAAGTGAGAAGAAGCTAAGAAGAGCCAACAGTTAGCAAAAACATGGCCACAGGTTACAACTCATTAAGCCAGGACTGCTTCCTTTTTTCATGTGATACCTGGTTTTATGCCTTTCAGTCGTACAAACAGCAGCCTCTAATTTCTAACAGAGATGTCACACTATACTTGACTAATTTTATTCTGAATCAGATGTTTACTTAGGGGCCACAGATGGTGAGACCAAGACCTGTGTTCATTTCATTACAGACAGATGCTCAGCTTAGGAATTTCCACCTTTGTGGAGATCATAAAACAATATTGAAATGCTTACGTAAATTTAAGGCTTCACAAAGAGAAGTTCTCAGGGAAGTGAACTCTGTGATTATCACAAGTAGAAGGTTAGAACAATAATGGTTTGAATTTATACAGATCCTTACTTCTTTGGAATAAAGAACACTGTAATCTCATCAATACTCTTAACATCTCTTAGAGATAATAGAAAATGTGTGTCTTCTCTACTTTGAGCAAAACGAGGTAAAGGTAAACAACACAGATAAAGGACCACATTATTAGAACTAAATGGAACCTTAGAAGCAATCTAGTCCAGTGCCTTTCTTTTACAGATGAGGAAATTGATTAGTTAAGTGACTAGTCCACAGTCACACAGTTAGTAAGTAACAGAGTCAAAACTCATACCCAGGCCCTATGAATTGCAGTCTACCTCTCTTTCTACCACACCACACTATATACGTAATGCTTTGGATCATCCAGTGAACCTAGAACCCATTTCCCCTGACTTTCAAGGCTAAGGAATCTTCCCTGTCTAAATTGTCTCTGGGGGCTCTCATTGAGTCCACCAGCCAGTCTTCAAGAATGAAATTCAAGCTATGCTGAAGATCTACTTCTTTAGTGTTTTTCTGAAATAGAAACACATCTGTGTTTTATCATTTGACAATATTTTTCCTGTTACCACTTACTGTGTGCCTAGCGGTATGCTAAAAAGTATATAGTACCATGTCAACACAGGATGAAATAAAACAGGCACCATGCAGCTACACAGAGTCTGAGCTTTTGAAACTCCAATTTGTCCCCTCTCCACAATGTCACCTGTCAAAATCAAACCTTGCCTAGTGTTGGCATCAGCCGGACAGGCAGGCTATTTACATTTGTAAGGAGAAGGCTGGGAGAGGAAGCCACAGGTAATTAAACACAGCAGCTTTGATTTTTTCCAGGGTGATTTTTAGTAGCACCCTCAAGTAAAGCAGTCTTTGGAATTTACAGTAAATTGCCCCATCTCTGTGATTAGGAGGGAGACTTTTGTTTTTGTTTCCAATTGTTTAGACAATTATGCTTGAACTTTAATTATTGATTAAGAGCTGTGGGAGGCATAGTGGCTATGAATTACCACTTCCCTGTAGGGCTGGCTGTTTGTATAGGTGTAGTGCCAGCCGCCTATGTACTATGATTTAAGCATTCCCCAACTTCCCTAGGCCTCAGAAATCTCTCTTGCACATGATTGCCTTAGCATCTGAAATCTCATGATTGTGTCAGATGAGGCATAGAATGCCCCTCTTAAAATATGAAGGTTACTTGAAGAGGGTAACACATTGATTTTATTGTATGTTAATAATTAGTCAGCTAGCATTTGCTACATACCTACTGTGTGCCAGGCACTGTGCTAAGTGCTGGATAGTTTAGATTAATTTGTTGTACTAACCCTAGCAAAAGAAGGAATGACACGTAGTAGGAACAAGTTTTGATCAGGGACAGGGGATCAGAAAATATCTGGAGCATGTGGCACTCTGGGGGCAGACACGCTAAATCAGGCTTACCCTGGCTTTATGTTATGATCTTCAGTGACCACATATAGAATAAGGCTACAAGGAGTTAAAGCTGGATTCATGATTGAGAAACTAGATAGCTTCATATCTGCTCTTGAGCTGATAATTTTTAACACCATAGCATTCATTATTTTGTTTGAAGTGAATTACCAGAACATCAGGCAAACCCGTAATCAAATGTATTTTGAGTGCTAAATATAAATGAGTTTGGATTATCAGCATTTTATGACTTTACTCTCTCTCATCCATTAATGCAAATAGTTGGAAATTATTTTATAAATGTAGTTCACTGTATTATAGTAAGGAGGTTATTATATATGGTATGTTGCATATCTTAAAATCAAATTCTGGCTAAATTTCTGGTAGCTTGGTCTTCGTAATGAATTAATGATTGAATGAATGAAAAAGCAAAGTATGTATTAAGCACTTACTATGTGCAGAACACTATACTAAGCACTGAGGATGCAAATAAAGAAATAAAATTGGCCCTGCCCTCAAAGAGCTTACATTCTAATAGAGTAAGACAGAACATGTAAGTGTGTTCCAATTTCAAGGAAGATGGAAAAGCCTCGTGGTCCTGAGATTGCAGCATCAAAGTTGATGTTAGTGCATCTTCTTCTTCTTTTTTTTTTTTTGGCTAGGCAGTGGGGTTAAGTGACTTGCCCAGGGTCACACAGCTAGTAAATGTTATGTGTCTGAGGCTGGATTTGAACTCAGGTCCTCCTGAATCCAGGGCCGGTGCTTTATCCACTATGCCACCTAGCTGCCCCTAGTGCATCTTCTTTAATGTCATTTCCTTTGATAAAACTATTTCTGGAGCTGAACCATTTGGCAGTGCCAAGGACTTATAAGTAATAGAGGGAACTTGATAATTAAGCAGAATTGAAGAGAAACTTAGAGTAGTAAGAGGAAAATCTTACCCAAGTAGTGGACTCCCTAAAAAACAGAATGGATCAATTGACTCTATGATAACGCTATGAGACAACAAAAATATTAGAACGAAGTCAAAAGGAAGTCAATGGAAGAAAATATAATAATCTATAATCAAAAAACTGACCTGGAAAATAGGTCTAGGAGAGATCATTTAAGGACCATAAGACACTCTGAAAATCCTGACGAACTAAAAACCTGGCACCATATTTCAAGAAATCGAAGAAAGAAAACTGCCTATGCTTATTAGAACCAGAGGGCAAAGTGAAAATAGAAAGTCTAGAAGGATAGAAGAGATACAAAGGAACAAAACATCACAGGATCAATTACCAAACTGAAAATTTTTCCACAAACAAATCAGTTCAGCCAAAGCTGGAAGGGAAAGAGTCAACATCTTTACAGCAAATGTATATAATAACTATCTGATATCCAGGATATATAAGGAACTGATATAAATATAAAAGAATAAAAGTCATTCCTTTTGGTGTGAGGATAAGAACAGAAAGTCCTCAAAAGAAAAGGGCAAGTTATGGACAACTGCATGAACAAATGTTCCCAACCACAAAAAAAATAAAAGAAAGAAAGAAGTGTCATTAAAATATTTTTATAAATATTACAAGAGAGCAGAGTGTTGAACTGGCAAATTTCTTATGTATTTTTAAAAATCTACATGTGATAGAAAATCATAGCATCATATGCAGTCCTCTTTTTCTGTTGTCAAGTACGTAACAATTAAAAAAAATTAATGATTCTGTCTCTTGACTGAAACTGTTCTCTGGTCTCCGTGAGTTCTTAACTGCTAAAGCTGATGGCTGTCACCTAGCCCCATTCTTTTTATCTTTCTGAAGCTTTGGATACTTTGGATTACCCCTTCCTCCTTGATATCTTGTTCCTACTCCCTTCCCCATTTGGCTTCTCCGATACTGCTTTTGGTTCTTCGACCTGTCTGACCATTCTGACTCAGTCTCCTTTGCTAAATCCTCTTTTCTTTCTCTGTGCTCATTCATCAGTTCCCAGTGATTTCAGCGGTCATCTTTGTGCAGATGACTCCAAGACCTGCACACCCATCCCTAATCTAATCTGGACACTCCTGTGTTACCAACTGCCCATTGGATAGCTACAGCTGGGTGCCCCACTGATGCCTCAAACTCAACAAAAACAGATCTTGTTTTCCCCCCAACCCGAATGCTCCTCCAGAACTCCCTGTTTCTTTTGAAGGTGCCATTCTTCTTCAAGGTTCAGAACCTTAGGGTCATTCTTGATTCTTGCTTCTCCCTCCCTCCTTGTGTCCACTCAGATGATTAAACGTTTCATTTTCTACCTCCACAACACCTCTACCTTCAACTCTTTTCTCTCCACTCATATGGCAAGGACCCTAGTTCAGGACCTCATAACCTCTTGCCTATTGCTATGGCCTCCTAATTGATCTCTCAGCTTTCAGCATCTCCTCTTCCCACATCCATTTACCACAAAGTGGCCAAATTAATTTATTTAAAATACGTATCTTACCATGTTACTGCTACTCGGAAATCTTCATTAACTCCCTGTTGCCTCTAAGATAAAATGCCAGTTGAGTAGATTATACCCTCAGGCAACCTCTTGAGACCTCTTTGACCAAGTAAGTGAGTTTAAGGGTTTTATGGGGCCTGTAGACAAATTGGCCCTAAATTCTTTTTTGGGATGAGGGGCAGAGGTCTAGGCTCGGGCCTATACCCCATCACAGTAACTACCTGAGGCTGGATTTGAATTCAAGTCTTCTTTGACTCTAAGTTCAGTGCCCTTTCCACTACACCACCTAGCTGCCTATCCCTTGTTAAACTAGTATCTCTCCTGAGAGTCTTTAACAGATGGAAAAAAATCTAATGAGCTAAAAGAATGGGGTTTCAGCCAGAAAGTAGGAGGTGAAGTTTTGGAGCAGTAGGGCCTTCATCATTAAGTGACTGCTCGATTTACCATTAAGTAGGCAAAGACCTATCTAACCCTTGTTTAGTCGTTCAGTCATGTCCAACTCTTCATGACCCAATGGACCATAGCATGCCAGTGCTGTCCGGAGGGTTTTCTCGGCAAAGATACTCGAGTCATTTGCCATTTTCTTCTCCAGTGGATTAAGGCAAACAGAAGTTAAATGACTTGCCCAGTGTCACACAGTTATTGAGTGTCTGAGGCCAGATTTGAACTCAGATCTTCCTGACATCCAGGCCCAGTGTGCTCTCTATTTACTGAGACATCTACCTGCCTAGTCCAGCCCTACTAGGATTATTTCGTGAGCAGTGGTATGTAGGCGGTGCAGTGGATAGAGTACTGGGCCTAAAGTCAGAGAAGAGACTCCTCTACCTGAGTTCAAATTACTTACTAGCTGTGTGACCCTGGGCAAGTCACCTAACCCTGTTTGCTTCAGTTTCCTCATCTGTAAAATGAGCTGGAGAAAGAAATGGCAAACCACTCCAGTACCTTAATGCCAAGAAAACCTCAAATGGGGTCAGGAAAGGTTGGACACGACAAGCAGGCGAACCACAACGATAGCGTGTAGCCCATACAGACATACTGTTTTTCGTGCTCGTGGTTACCTTCCTCAGATGCACTGTAGAAGCACTATTTTCAATGCATAAACATTTGTTACGCTCCTAGTATGTACCAGGCACTGTGCTAAGCACTAGAAATACACAAAGAGGCCAAAGAGAGTTCCTGCCCTCAAGGAACTTGTGATCTGATGGATTATAAAATCGTATACTCATTTGCTCCATCATAATAGACCAGATTTATGTCATACACCTTGAACAAGAACATAGATGTGCTGGTCCATACCTCTTCCAAGCCTATGGTTTTCCTTGATGTGTTTCAGTTGCTGTCTATGACTAGTACTGCTCTATATTAATTGTTCTTTTCCCTCTTTTGCAAGGTCTGTCGAGTTGCTTATGAAATCATGCAGACACTGCATCCAGATGCCTCTGCCTACTTCCATTCTTTGGATGACATTTACTATTTTGGGGGCCAGAATGCCCACAACCAGATTGCTGTTTATCCTCACCAACCACGAACTGCTGATGAAATCCCAATGGACCCTGGAGATGTTATTGGCGTGGCTGGAAACCACTGGGATGGCTATTCTAAAGGTGTCAAATAGAAAACTAGGGAGAACAGGCTTGTACCCTTCCTATAAAGTGAAGGAGAAAATAGAGACAGTCAAGTACCCCACATACCCAGAAGCTGAGAAATAAATTTGCAGGCAAGGGAATGGAGCAGACTCACTCAGTTCATCTGGTTTGAGCCAAACAGCATACTAACTAGACTTCGGATTTATGTTTTAACCCAGAGTTAAACAAATGAAAGCTTTCAGGACTGAGGCTGAATGAACAGCTTCAAACAGATGGATGAACCGTCGCTGGAATTCCTCCTTAACGAACACATTTTGTTATGATGCACTTGGCCCTGTGCGCAGACCAATAGCCTACTCACATGCAAACAGTTGTTTTCTCCCTTGCCCCTTCTTTCAAGGTTCCATCCCCGTCATTCATCATCAAGTGAGCATTTGGCCTACACTGTCTCTGTCATTAATTGACTATAATTCTGACTTTTTAACACTGCCACATTGTGTAATTTGAGTGACATGAACATATTTTATATGTGTGAGATTTCAAACATGGTGCCTATATTTGAGAGATCTGTGTGACCTGTTCAGAAGAACCAAACTCCACTTATCTTGGTGGGGGAAGAGTTGGTTCTCAATTATTGGTGGTGCCATGACCACCGAACCCGCTTCGACCAACAGATTGAGAATGAGAATTAGATGTTCTTTTCTTTAAATTTCTTTTTTAAGTAATTGCATTGATTCATCACCTCATCATTAATAAATGAAGGATACATCCGAAAATAAACTATTCACCCTCCATTAGGAACTTTTGTAAAACAATGCCATGAACAAATTCTTTAGTACTTAATGTTTCTGGACATTGTCTTTGATAACAAAAAATAAATTTAAAAAATAGAAGTTTTGTAATTTCTTTTCCTATTTCTGGTCAGTGAGAGAACTGGCAATCAATATTGTAGTGAAAACATACAGTAAAATGGAAGATGATGATAAAAGGAGAAAGGGGAGGAGTTTTGTAGCTTTTTCCTCATGCCTAACTTCTGTTTCTCTGACTTTCTCCTGAGAAATCTTCAGGGGATCAGTTAGACATGCCTGTATGGTCCCTGAATACAATCATTCTGTCTTGAGAAGCAAAGCTAAGTTTGCGTATGTGCTTAATATAAAGTTGCTCAGGACTTTTTTTTCTTTTTTTTCATTTTGGGTTGGTGGGGCAAGGTGTGTGGGGGGTGAAGGTGGTTGGTGTAGTTTAGTATGATACAGAAAACTTGAATATTTTCCCTTACCACCACTGAGGAAAAACTCTAAATTGAAAATTATTCCAGGTGTATTCAGTTATGTCTCCACTTACTAAGATTTTATGTATGTATATAATGTGTGTGAGGTCATGAATATCATCACTGTATATCCTGCTGGACCCAAGTGGTTATGCCTGAGAAAACCTTTGTACTCCTTATCCAGTTTCTGAGAGGAGGAAGTGCTTTCAGATGTTCACTAAGCATGGGAAGCTGTGATCTCCAGTGTCTGTCCCTCAACATATGGAATCTGATATCATCTATAAAGCAATTTTTGTTGAAGGGTGGGGGGGAAGGCTAGTAGGAGTCGAAAAAACTAATCTGAGTCCAATAGACTGTTCCAAATTTTGTATTTACTGTCTCAAAATGAGAAGTCATTTCAAGGGATAGGGCTTAATAAACTCCCTCTGGACGTCTTTCACCATTCTTATTAAAAAAAAATATGGTGTACTTGTGCATAACCTGCTGGTTGCAAGCACCTTGTAGGAACCTTTTCTGGTATATACCTAGTTTCCAATGAAAAATCTGAATGTTTTGAAGGGTGGTAACAGAGTTCATGTTAAGTATCAGAGAGTTCAGTCAAGAAAGATAATTCAGCCCCTAGTTTTACTGTGTGTTCTCATTCTCTGTCTCTCTGTGTCTCTCTGTCTCTCTGTCTCTGTCTCTGTCTCTGTCTCTGTCTCTGTCTCTCTCTGTCTCTCTCTCTCTCTCTCTCTCTCTCTCTCTCTCTCTCTCTCTCTCTCTCTCTCTCTCTCTCCCTCTCCCTCTCCTCCCCTCCCCTCCGCTTTTCTTTACGTCCCTTCTCTCCTTCACTCTCATCCCTTCCTGTGCTTCTCACCTATGATTTTATCAGTTTAAGAGAGCATCAGGTGGACAGTATAGGTTGGTACTTTGCCTGTAACTATGGAGCTAGAGTCTTAGAAAGTTATCAGGGTACTGAAAGTTTAAATGATTTACTCATAGTTCAATAGCTAGTACAAGTCAAAGTCAGGCCTTGAAGCCCTATCTTTGTGATTCCGAGATCAATCCTCTATTCCATAGACCACAGTGTCTCTCATAGCTGTTCTCTCTTAGCTGCACTAAAACAAAATGAAAGGCCTACATGTTTTCTCTCACAACTGCCTGACAATGTTCACATCTCAAGCAGGACCACTCAAGTATAAAAAACCCAACCACTGGGCCATTTCAGAGTAACTAGTTTTAAATTTTAATTTTGGTGGAAATGAAAATTGATTGAAATAGCACAACTATTTTGACATAATTTTGAATTTGTAAGCCCTAGCTCATTAGTCCTTATAATTGTCTAACCTGTCCCTGACTGAGTCTGAGTTAGGTAACACCCGAAGGAAGAATACCTGAGATTAAATCATTTGAATCAGCACTGGGCTAGAAGTCAGGAGGCCTTGAGGAAATTTCTCCTCTTTGAACCTCAGTTTCCTTATCCATCAAATGTAGAGGTTGGGCTAAATGATTTCTAACAGGCTTTCTAATCCTCAGGGAATAACATTTTTAGATTCTTGTCTTGAAGTAACTTAAGTTACTTCATTTCTTGCAGTGGAATGATCCTCTTTCTATACCCTGATTAAAGTTTTAAAGCCATTTTTGACCCTTCCCTGTTCATCTTCTGTAGGCAATCTGTTATGAAACACTTTCCTTAGAAAATTTTCTCTCTCCCTACTGCTACCACACTAGTTCAGGCCTTCATTCCTGAATTATTCCAAAACCTTCCTAGGGAGACAAACAAATGTCTCTTCTCCTTCTAATCTGCCCCTGCACCTTAAGGTGGTTACTAACCACCTTAATGTACATCATTTGGTCTCCACAGCACCATTTTACAAATGAAGAAACTGAAGCAAAAAGGTTAGATGACTTGCCCGTATTTACATAGCCAGTAAGTGGGGCTCAAAATAGTGAACGTGTCCACAGAAATAGCTGAAATGACTGATGTATCCAGAAGGACAGCCCCCAACATCATAAGACTTCTACCAACCCCCATGTTTATTCTTATCTATACTCACGATTGGTGTTTTCAGAAGCAACTGAGCACTGTCTACCCTAGATTGGTACATTTATAAAACTTGCATGCTTCCTTTGTCTATCTCATTATAAAAGCCTTCAGACCCTCACCACTCCAGGGCCACTAAAATCCATCTATATTTCTTATAGACCCAATTTCCTGGGTTGTGATTATATATACAGCTTCATTTCCTAGCCCCAGAGCAAGACTGGCATCCCAGAGTGATAATGAAGTAAGAGCATATGTCTCCTTCTGCATCATTTTTTTTTCCCCCTGAATGTGTTGTCAATAGTTTGGAGGCTATTCATAAACAATGTAGTTAGAAGTGTTTCTGGTCCTTGAGATCTGTGCCTGGTCTTACATCCTGACTTCAAGGCCAGTCTGAGCACACAAGTGACAGGACAGTGTGTCAGGCAGGTCAGTCTGGCAGTAGTCATTGAGTAGATACTGACTACCTATTGGGCATAAGCGGCAGATTAGAAGGAGAAGAAACATTTGTTTGTCTCCCTAGGAAGGTTTTGGAATAATTCAGGAATGAAGGCCTGAACTAGTGTGGTAGCAGTAGGGAGAGAGAAAATTTCCTAAGGAAAGTGTTTCATGACAGATTGGCTACAGCAGATGAACAGGGAAGGGTCAAAAATGGCTTTGAAACGTTAATCAGGGTATAGAAAGAGGATCATTCCACTGCAAGAATTGGGGTCAGTCTGGGCAAGGAGAGGATGTATCTCTTTTGCCCATATTGATTTCGAGTGACAGTGGGACATCAAAGTAGATCAGGAAGATCTGGGTAAAAATCTTGCAGTAGACACAAGCTTGAGCAAATTGATTTGACCTGTGCTCTCTGATTCCTCTGTTAAAAGGAGAAAGCTGGTCTCCAAGGCCTCAGTGTCATCCTATGATACTTTTTCTCCTACCCTATCCTGCCTATGTAGGGGCAGCTAGGTGACACAGTGGATAGAGTGCCAGGCCTAGAGTCAAGAAAACTAATCTTCCTGAGTTCAATCCAGCCTCAGACACTCCCTAGCTGTGTGACCCTGGGCAAGTCACTTAACTCTGCCTCAGTTTTCTCATCTGCAAAATTAGTTGGAGAGGGAAATGGCAAACCACTCTAGTATCTTTGCCAAGGATACCCCAAATGGAGTCACGAAGAGTCAGATATGACTGAAATGACTGAACACCAACATCCTGCCTATTTATACAACACACCTAATTAGAGTACATTAATGGAGAGCATTAACACAGCCCCACTGATGAAAAGAGCAATGCATGCAAACATTCTAAGGGCTGTTTGCCAGCTATGGGCAGGGCTGTAAAGTGAATGATAGGGCAGGCTTAATCCTGTCTTCTGGTTTGTGTTTGTATTCCCAGCACTTAACACGCTGCCTGGCACATAGGAAGGAAGTCCTTAGTAAATGCTTGCTCACTTGTTAACTTGACCGTGACTAGCCTTAATGAAACAAGCCTTCTTGGCCCAGTTACCAAGCATCGCTGTTACTCCAGGCTGTGCACTGGGGCTTAACCCATCTGCCGGGAAGGTGAAGAAGAGCATGTTCTGGAGATTTGCTATGCCCATTCAGTATTTTGACTTTGCTGCCTCAAAGCTATTCTAGGCCACTAATTTATTTGCAAGGCTAACATACTAACTAGTTATTCTTCATAGCCACCACATACACACACACACACACACACACACACACACACACACACACACACACACACCCCTTCTGTTACTTAAATTTCTCCTAGAAAAAAGAGAAGGGAATAAGTATTTTTTGTGGTTGTTTTGTTCTATTTTCACTCGTGTCTGGCTGTTTGTGACCCTGTT